ATACTAACAAAAATCTCCCATGAACCTTTAAAGAAAGATAAGTGCCAATAATCCGCTTGTTGGTAAGGTCTGTGCTTGTAGCGGAAACTTTGGAATCGAATCCGCCTGCACCTGAATTGGGGTCATGGCTTGGGAATGGGCTATCCCACGTTGTATTAATAAGATATCAATTCAGTACTCAAACTTTGGTTCTAATGCCAATTTGGTCTCTGTAAAACGTAATAATTCAGCACCTAAACTTTCAAAATATATCAATCAGTAATTGTATTAATCAATTCGTTAATCAATGTTAAGTGATATTTGAAAAGACATAAATGCTTTTTGAGTATCATCTAATTTTCTTTATCAACCATCACATGTTGATAAAATTGAACGGTCTCAAATCTTTACCTCTTCTATTCAAGAAAGTTGAGGTTATGTCTCAGTGGGTCTTAGTGGGCATTCTGGTAACCTTAACTTTCTTGAATAGAAGAGTCAAGGATTTAGAACTATTCATTTGTTGTCAATGTTTAGATGGTTGATAAAGAGAATTAGATGACACTTAAAAGGCATTTGTGTCTTTTCAAATAGCACTAAATGGTTAGTTAACTGAGTGGTTAATGGCAGGTACTAGATTGGCACATTTTGAAAGGTAAATACTAATTGTCGCATTTTAAAGTTTGGAGACCTAAGTGACACTAGACCCAAAGTACAAGGTATTAATCTGAAATTTTCCCAAAAAATAAAATATGAATACCTTCCCCTCTGAAATCATCAAAATGCCTTTCTTTTTTTTTTCCTTCCTTTTCTCCCCTTCTGCTATATCCCAAACCATTGTTCAAGATATAGCAATCAATAGTGTTACCACAGGTATGCCCGTGACTTCTTACCATTCTACTAAATAAGAAAAGGGTAATTTAGGGATTAAAAAATAAGCAACTAAATGAGAATCTTTTTCAAAATTAACTGTCGGAATACTAACAGAAGGGATCTTTGTTTAATGGCCAAAGTTCAGCCAGGGCCTTTGCCTCAAAAAAAAAGTATAGGGGGTATTGTTACAAACCCCATAGTGCAAGGGGGTCCATGTAATATATCCTTTTTATTTCTCTCTTCCCTTATGCACTTTAAGATGGACCCACCGAGCTAAGTTTGGATTTCCTACCTATAACAACTCTACTCACACTTACCCACATAACATCACACAGCCACACATGAATAACATCTCATCCCCTTACATGTTACTATGCATAGTGAGATGCTCTCAATGCATGGAGATAGTATTTTGTGGGTAGACATGGGTAAAGTTCTTCTTATAAGAGATCCGGAGTTGACCAAACCAAGGAGCAAGCCGATGCCTGGTCTTATGGGGTAAACTTGTTTGTTTTACTCGTTGGGTTTCTAGTTTCTACCATTCGGTGATGAATGGATTCAAGATTATTTCATTGTTTAGGATTGGATTTATTGGAGCGCTTTGAAGCAAAAAAAGGAAGAATACCAAATGATTAGCTACAATGGGGCATGCAATCACCCAATAAAATTGTGGAGAGTACTTGTTTGGAGAAGCAAGGGAAGAGATACAATGGGTTTGGGGAAGGGAAGATTAATAATGTTAGTTTAAGGCATCGGAAGTGCCACAATCAGACGTATAAGGGATTGGAATTTGGTGAGGAAGTGGGGAAAGAGCATAGAATGAGGAAACTCAAAGTTGAGCTTCAAGACATAGTTTTTTGCTGAAAAAAAAAGAGGGTGTCTCTGAACCTTGAGGAAATTTTGTGTTGATGGTTTGATATAAGCATGACCTATATTGATCAGCAGTTTTGAAGGCCAAATCAATGGCGAGATAAGGGATTCAGGTGTATTTTAGTAAATTACACCCACAAGGTTGGTTGAGGATAGATATGTTTATGGGTCGGGTCGGGTCAGGTTTTGCCTCTTTAAAACTAATATTATATTAATTTAGTAATAATTTAATAAATTAATTTGTATTTTATAATAGTAAATTAATATTTATTAATAATTTAAGAAACAAATACATATATTATATATTTATTATATATAACATAAGTACTTTTTTATTATATGTAATAGAGTTGGGCCGGGCTTATTTGAGAAAGCCCAAACCTGGCCCAAAAAATGATCAGGTTTGGTATTTAAAGCCCAAGCTCGAGCCTGCGCCCGCAGGCTTGAAATTTTGTCCAACCCCAAAAAATAACCGGCTAGGTCAGGTCGGGCTGTCAGGCTAGCGGACCCATGAATAGGTCTAGTTGAGGATAAACCTAGTACTTTAAAAAATTAGAATATTATATCAGTCTTTTATGACCGGAAAACTACGATAAGGGAGGTATTTGCATCTTTTTTAAAATGTTAGGAGAGGTCTTTTGCAAGGTTTTTAAAACTAGACCAGACAAGGAACCGTTCTTGGGTCTGGTTCCTAGGTCAAACGGTCTGACCGTCCAATTCAAATAGATGGCCTGTTTTTTCAAAAAAATTAAAAAACAAAAAACAAAAAACAAAACCAGCAATTCACTGACCAAATCAACATTTTTGGCCAAAAAGTGGTTTTGGGTTAAAACAAAACCGATCTTCTAGTTCTTCCAATTCGGTCTGATTTTGAAAACACTGGTTTTTTGTTAAGGTCAAAATATAAGGGAGGTTTATAGGATTGTCAAAAAACTCAGACAGGTTTTTATGGTTTTTACTTTGAAGCATGTTTGGATGGGTTGGATTTAAGTAGGGTTGTACTTGGATCAGATTCGGGTCAAAACAAACAAAACCCAAGTCCGATCCTATTAGTGAAATCGAATATATATATATATATATTTTGAAAATCAAACTTGGATTTTATTCGGATCAAATGGGGGTTAAATCCATAGGCTTATCATTTGAATGCATATCATAAAATCTGAATTCAATACAATTATATAAATCGATCCTCCAAATACTAGATACTAAATATTGGATGTTGGATCGATTTTTAGACTTTTTATTCCATTAACAACCTTGGATTTTAGCAACAAGCTGTAACATTGTATGTAGATGGCATCAATTTCAGTGATACTACTTTTACCTCACATTCAAATTTAGCCTTGTAAAATAGTCCCCAACCAATCTAGCTTCACAAAGAAGCCCCTAACTAATACGGCCTCGCAAAATAACTCCTATACAGATACAGTATAGCCTAGTAAAATACTCCACATACCAATAGCCTTGTAATATATATAATAGCAATCATCAAGTTTGAGGGGCTAATACTTTAACAAAATTTTCTAAGAATTTTGGGGGTTAAATTTTCAAAAATCTTTTACAAATTTTCTTAAAATTTCGGGACTAATCTTTCAAAATTTCCTAAAAAATTAGGGGCTAATCTTTCAAAAAATTCCCCTCAAATATTCGGATGCTAATCTTTCAAAAATCTCTTCGAAATTTTGGAGATCAATTCTTCCCAAAGCCTTTCAAAGTCAAATTATTTAGAAGTTTGGAGGTTAGTCTCGTAACGAAAATTCTTCAACAAAACAAAATAAAACCTAAGAGTCGAGATGAATGGTCATGTTATTGATTCTTTGTCAATATTGAGTGATCATGATATTTCTCAAAACAAAATAAAACCTAAGGGGATGCTTGAAACTTCAATCATGGATCTATGTGTAGTCTAAATCCATTCAAGAAAAATTGAGTGTTTTGTTGAAGAATTCCCTTATTAGCCCCCAAACTTCTAAACAATTTGACTACACGTATGATTTAAAAAAAAAAAAAAACTATACAAAGCTGTTGTACTTTTTCACTATTTATATTTTAAAGAATCCTTTTTCTTGAAAGGATTTAGACTACACGTATGATCCATGATTGAAGTTTCTAGCATCACCCTAGGTTTTATTTTGTTTTGAGAAGTAACATGACCATTGATATTGACAAAGAAGATTCCTGTTTTGATACCACACTTTTTTTTCTCAATAACAAATAACATTCATTAATCATTAAAAAACTTTAAGTACAAGGAGGGAGAGATAAACTGTCTTAAGTCCCCCAAAAAAGGCCAAGGCCACCGAAAGGAGTACAAAAAATAAGAATAATAAGAATAATAAGAATGAGACCAAAACAAGGATTTTCTATTTAACCCTTGCTTGGCTAACCCATCAGCAAACAAGTTTTGCTTGGTTAATTCATCAGCAAATGAGTTAGCAATTCTCTTCACCCAACTACAGTTTATCTCAATATCCTTGGCCAGATTGTCTTGAATTCCCAACGCTGCTACCATTAAAGTTTAGTTTTATAAAGCCAATGGGAAGAGTGGTCCAATGACTTGAAGCCCTCTTAACCTACGCAGATCTTGCTATATCCCTTTCCAGTTTCTCAGCAAATCAGCCAAGATGAAACCTGTGAACAGGTCCAAACGTTTCAGCCGTTGTGCCACTCTCAAGTGGATCAGCTTATTTTGTTTTGATACCACAATTATTAGAGGACCAATTGAACAGGATTTACCTCCAGCAATGTAACAATGCAAGCATGGCAATCGAAGGTTAAATACTGATGTTCAGTTTGAGTGTAAAATGTACAATAGTACTTTATTCAGTCTAATGTAAAATATACTGTAGTACTTAATTCAATCTGACATTTCAAGAACGTTATTATTATAAATGGAAAAAAAAAAGTTATTATTATGTGGATTTCTAACATTTAAATCCATAGAAACCCCTAAATATAGTGTTTAGTGTCTCTGTGACGCTGAAATCAATACATTTCATACAATACAATACGTGCCAACCATTCCATGACTGCTTCAAACAATGAGCTACATAACCAACCAAGACAAGGGAAAGAAATAATCAATACCCCTCCCCTTCAACACACACAAAGAAGGGAAAGGAATAATAAAGAATGAATGAGATTAAACTTTCCGTGAATAACAAGTTTATGCGATCCATACCGAACCAAAGTGCTCAAGGAATTAATCCTGTTAATGGTAAATCAAGACCAGTTTTCAGCCTGTCTTCATGGACATGGAGTAAACCTAACAAAAGGAATTCTTGACATGTTCTCCATGAATTTTTATTAAATTGTTAAATTGTTACATGTAGAGTTTCTATAGCATTAAATCACTTTGATTGCTTTGTTAACATTCAGCCGACCAAAGAAACCACATCGGAAGGGCTGTAATAAGTTGCTTGTGACATGCCCTCAAAAAAATTGGGAAACAAATGAATCATGATTAAGGTTGAAAAATAAGGAATATCCACTTTGATTTGGAACACTCAGTAAAACTGCACTTCATCATATATCAACTCAACTAAATAAGCCGAGAAGAATCAGTATACAAAGTTGCAACCAAATACCCATTGAATCAATTATGTCTGTCAAGAAATTTCTCAATCAGAACTGAAAACGTAGCAAAACCTGCACAACCAACACATGCCGCCTTTGGTCCTCCTAGAAGCACAGATATTAGGTGTCAGAATATGAGTCAACAGGAAGGAAGACCGAACAGCCAAAGTGAATGGCCAAACAATATGGATGAAAGCCTAAAAACCAAACTCCTAGCATGTGATTTCAACAGGCACGGTTATCTAGCTTCCCAAAGAATGGCACTAAATAGGGGGAAAGATGCAAAATGCCTCTCTACATGTTTCGCTGCAGACATCAATAACAGAAATTAGAGTGCCCAAATACATAGCCCACATTCACACCAAACAGACAAAACAATGAAAAAGGGACTTTACTCAGTATAAGAGATCCCATAGATGCCTAAAGAAGTTACTGATGCAAGTAAACTGAAGACAGGATTTCACACCCTTGAGGATCAGACCCACCACATCAAAAACCCATAAAGCTGATGCATTGTCATTTATATGAAATAAAAACCTCCAATAACCTTAAAGATGATGCTCTGGAAGCAAATAAATATATCCAAAAAACAAAAATGCCTATGTAAGTATATATCTGAAATGCATAATATGCAGTCAGTTGTCCTTTCCTTCTAGTTAATCCACCTACAAAGAAACTTTCTATCATATAAGTCAATTAGGACGAATTAAATAGCATAATCATTTTTTTACTAATTTACTTTCAAATACCATGTAGTCCAATTAGGCAAAAAGAGTAAAAACTTTTAAGAGTTCAAAACATAATTAACATCGTAAAGATTATTATAGAGCTAAAATAACTGTAAGAATAAATTGGTTTGAAGCTATGGTGCTGCATGTTTGCTGTAGCATGATAATATGTACAAGATCCTGCACGAATTGGTTAAACAAGTATTTGGAAGCTAAATAATTGCCTCCACAGAATTGCACCTCTCTTTCAATCCACATTCTTTTCTCTTCTAGGCTTTCAGAAGTTGCCATGTCCCAAAATCTCTTTCTTTGAAGAGCACAATCATCATTAGATAAGGGCCTTACCCAATGTTAGTCCTGGGGTCTCTTTTTTATCAGCAGAATGTTTATTTTACTAAATTAGTTATATATGAAAAGTCCTGGGGTCTCTTTTTTATCAGCAGAAAGTTTATTTTACTAAATTAGTTATATATGAAAACAGTACAATTTGATGACAAGAATGTCATCCCAAATATCATAAGCTAGGTTAAAAAGAAGCCCAGTACAAATGGAGTTTTACTTAGCTCCTCAAAGAAAGGATGCTTTCGTCCTAACTGTGTTTATTATTGGTCCACATCAATTTTATTGCCACGTCAGAAAATAAAAAAACAGAAGTGACTTGATAGCTCTACAGACATAACTTTAAGAACGCGTTAAGTTGGTTCTTTTTTTTTTCTTTCTATTTCTAAATAAAACCCTAAAAACAATCTCACTCTCCAAACTGAAGCTCATTCTCTACTGACTAGACTTTTCATCATTGGTGAAGTAAGGCTAATTAACCATCCATTGTCTTCATAATTTCTGGTGAAAAAATGGTAAACTTATACCTCTGCTATTGTCTTCATCATCTCTGGTTTGCAGAGAATAAGCTTCAGTAGTGAAAACTGAAAAGTGGAATTTTGTTTTCCCGTGAAGTAAGGCTAATTAACCATCCATTGTCTTCATAATTTCTGGTGAAAAAATGGTAAACTTATACCTCTGCTATTGTCTTCATCATCTCTGGTTTGCAGAGAATAAGCTTCAGTAGTGAAAACTGAAAAGTGGAATTTTGTTTTCCCGTTTTTTTTTTCACCAGACACCAAGAAAAGGACGGCTGGTGAACATGGACTCAAAGTATGAAATCTGGTTTACAAAGAATAAGCTTCAGTGGTGAAAGCTGCACAGTGGGATTTTATTTTTAGAGTTTTGTTTAAAATTTGAAAAAGCAACAGCTAACGTCCATTATGCATTTCAGTCCGTTTGCAAACCAGTTATATCTATTTTCATAAATATTACTTGGCACTAGAAGTGATGTGGGCCAATCATAAACATATTTAGGACGAAAGCATCTTTTGGTTAAGGAGCGAAAGTGAGTACAAACGCTGCCTTGTTTATAAAGGGTACCAGCTTAACCCATTTGCACTCCTTTGCAACCCTTTCTACTTCTTAATAAACATGTTTGGGAGTCCATGGAATATATCTATTACATCTCGCCCATGAAATAATTACTTTTGAATCCACTTCCACCTCCACCTGTCTGAAACCTAGGAGCTTTGCCAGCTGGAGACCAATGGCTCAAAAACCAAATTCTGGAAAGACCTTTGGTGGGGGAATTCTACCTTAGCAGCTTCCTTCCCTAGACTTTTCAACCTCTCCCTAGATAAAGACTCAAGTGTTTCCTCTTGCATTCCTGGCCTTCTTGCTGTCAACAATCTAAATTTACAGCTGAGAAGACCCCTAAGGGACCAAGAATTCCCTGATCTTGTGTCCCTCTTCCAAGCCATAAAAGAGGTCTATATCTCCCCCCACTCCCTTGATACCCGAGTGTGGACCCTTCACCCAAATGGTGAAATCTCTTCCAGGTCGCTATTCAAGGCTTTAACCACTGGGGAAGACAGCTCAACATTCCCTTCCAAGAAAATCTGGTGCAGCAACATCCCCTCTAGAGTTTGCTTTTTTGTATGGGAAACCTGCCTTCAAAGAATAAACACCCGTGATCTCCTTCAGAAGAAGAGTTTGGGAAGACGTTACATTTCTCCTCACGCCTGTTGCTTGTGTCTGCAAGATGGAGAAACAACCAATCACCTTCTTATACACTGTAATTTCACTCAAAAGATCTGGTAACACTTCTTCAACCTGATAGGCTATCATTGGGTTTTCCCAGAACATATTCAAAACCTTACTCATCAGTGGCAAGGTTATGATCTAAGCAGAAGACGCAAAGTCTACTGGAAAACGGTGCTACATGCAGTAATGTGGGAAGTTTGGGAGGAAAGAAATAAGCGATTATTTGAAAATAAACTCAGATCTCTCGATGAATTGATTTCAGATATCTTCTATCTCTGAACTTCTGGGTGGCTAATTCAGAGCTGTTCCAAGATCTCTCAAATGATGATCTTAGCAGAAATATTCAAACCATTCTTTTTCTTCCACACTTCACTCAGACTCCCATAAGACAACCGGTAGTATTCAGGGACGGTGGGATGATCTTACACTTTGACGGGAGTGCTGCAGGTAATCCAGGTTTAGCTGGGATTGGGGGCATCTTAAGAGATGAAAGAGGTGATATTCGCTGGGATTTCAGTGGGTCAATTGGATTTACAGATTCAACCAAGACTGAAGTGCTGGCTGCTCTAACTGGAATCAGAATAGTAAAAAGTTTGGGTATTCAGAATCTCTCCATAGTAGGGGACTCAGCAAATACCATCAAATGGATGAAAGATAAGGAAAGGGGTCCTTGGAGGTTGAACCATTACCTGGCAGAAGCAAGGGACTCCTTGAATTGTCTAAATGCAAATCTGTTTTGGATCCCGGCGGAGTTAAATCCTATTGCAGATGGCTTAGCCAAGCTAGGTGCTCGCTTAGAAAATCTGTGTAGTGACAGAATTCCCCTTGTAATCTCTTTGGGGTTCTCCCCTGTTTTGTACATCCTCTCATATTCTCTTCTAGTTTAATGAAATTTGATTAAACTTTTCTCAAAACATCCTCAAATTTTCCCTTGTTATGAATTATTGAACCAAGGTAAAAGAAATGGTCACATTGAGTTATCTCTTCCTCTCCAATCCTAAGTGGAACCAATTGGCCCTAAATAAAATGACAGTATGTAAAATAAATATATATATATATATTTTATATTTATAATTTTTTAATTTTATAGGAAGCTTAGCTCATGGTCGAGCTCGAGCTTACGAGCTTTTGAGTCAAAGCCGAACTCGAGCTCAACTCTCTAGCTCGAACTGAGCTCTAGATCAAGCCTCATGGCTTTCTGGTGAGCCGAGCTCGAATAGCCAAATATTCAGCTTGGCTCAGCTCGAATTAGGGGTGACCATTCCGCCTGCACAAGCCCGGCCCGGAAATTCCGGGCTTGGGCCTGGGTTTTGTGTTCAGGCCCGGCCCGACCCAACCCAAGTATATTTAAACTTACACATTTTGTGTATAATGTATGCATATGTATACATGTTATTTTACATTAAATTATATATTTTATATATAAATATTATAACATGACATGTATAATTTATATTATATGTAATATTTTATATTATATAATGTATAAAATAAGTTTATATGCATGTTATGTCATTTAATATATAGATATATAATATTTTATATTATATAATGTATAAAATAAGTTTATATGCATGTTATGTCATTTAATATAAAATATTATAGATATGCAATGTTTTATATATGAAAGACATTGGCCCAAAATCAAGCCCAGCCCGGGCCCGGGCCCGTTTAGACCTAGGCTAGGGCTAATGTTTCAGGCCCGGAACCCCGGGCCGGGCCGATCCCGGGCCTAAGCTATAGCCCTTATCATAAGTGCAAAGCCCGACCCGGCCCATGATCACCCCTAGCTCGAATCCACCCCTACCTCCTCGAAAGTCCTATACTTTCCTATGAAACTTCTATTATTCTTCTCTTCCCACACCACCCAAGTAACTGTTGTCTTAGTAGCTCTCCACATTATTCTCCCTCTCTTCTTTGGTTACCTTAAGAAGTTTTAGTTGAAGATGTCCACCACCTACCTATCAAAACCAAAAGATGTCCACCACCTCTTGAGGGAGTCTTACCTACAGCTAAAAAGAGAACAGAAAATCTCCCAAATACAAAGTACAAAGGAATAAGAGATTAGTAAATGGGAGACGGTTTCTCCACTACCCCTACATAAGAAGCACATATGAGGAGAAAGGCAAGAAGAGGGCCTTCTTCTCTACAAAACATCACATGTATTACCTTCCAAGGAAAATTTCCCAGCAGCAAGCTTGAATTATTGGTGGGATGGAATAGGCTTACTCCAAATTTCTTTCATTGGGAAGCATGGTTTAAAATGTCCCTAACTTCCCTAATATTTCCATGACATTTTTCCATTTCCATGGGTAGCAACACAAAATTTTACTGGAATCAACATTTCCCCAATGAACACTACCAACACTGTGGAGTACAAGAGATAGCTTCCACGACATATTTTCATTTCCACTTCCATGGGTGGCAACATGACATTTTACTGGAATTGACATATTCCCCAATGAACACTACTAATACTATGTGCAATACAAGAGATAGTATTATAACATAAGTTGGTGACAATATTGTAGGTATGTGAAGTAACAAGTTATTGTCCACCTAACTTACATGGTTACCAGTTTGATCTAACACAATATTCATTATTTCATTTCAAATGTGAAGTTAAATATTAGTTTTTATTTGTATAATAGATTATTGGTTGATCTATTACAACTATTTACATCTTCTATGAGTTCAAATTTTGCTTTAACTCATTTTATCATGAAGCTCTGAATCTTAAGGTTTGCAGGGCAACTTTGAAACGTACTCTTTTGTCCATAACCTTAGTTTCATAGCTTTGTTTAATGATTTAGAATAAGATAATAATTTAAAAAGGTGTGCCTATGCTTTTTTTATCATTTCATAAAATACCGTTCTATATTTTGCATATTTTACAATGTTTCCACCATATCTATAATTTTTACAATATTTCCATTTGATATTTCCGACATGTTTCTTATATTGGATGACTGACATCTCCATCGACATCGATATTTCAAACCTTGCTGGGAAGTCCACCCCTTGAGAACCAAGTAATGCATGATTCTTGATAAAGGAGGAGCAAGAAAAGAGTCCGTCTGGGGAGACTACCCAAATTCTAGACTCTTCCAAGTTTGGATCTAGGAAAGCTGCCTCCAAAATGTCAAGTAGGTCACTCAAAGAAGTACACTCACTCTCCCTTAGGCCTCTTCTAAAGCCAAGGTTCCAGTTGAAACTTGAAGGAGAGGGTGTTCCCGATTTAGACACAATTTCATCCTTGAGGTTAGAGAGGGCAAAAGGTTCAGGAAACTGATCTTTTAAAGGTGTTTCCCCTATCCAATAGTCTTCCCAAAAACAGATCCCTTCCTACATCATAATGAATAGAGATAAGAAACAAAGGATATACCTTATGAATTGCTTTCTGAGGAGAGCACCAAACAATGGAATACCTATCATAATTCATAGTAATTTCTTCAAAGATAAAAGTTTCACTAGTGCACATGAAGACTCCATAAATGAATTCTTAACTCTAGATAACATTGTTCCATCAATTCCTATTCCAGAATTCCTTCAACCTCTTCTTTACTAAACAATATAAAAGGGAAAAGATCTCTTGGTTTTCTAACCTCCACTGCTTTAAGAGCATTCCATTCCTTAATCACCCATTCAGCAACAGATTCCTTATAAGGATTATAATTTACAAATATCTGACAAGATACGCTTGTCTTTCAGCAGCCTTAAACACTCTTTTGCCTTTCAAAAGCTTAACTTCAACTCAATACATGGATGCACTCCTCAAGCTAGACTCAATAATCAAATCAAACCAATGGATTATCAGGTTACAACAGAAAATCCATAGAAGATCATTTAATCAAGTCAATCGATCAAAAGAGTTACAAGTGACCTCATTTTGTTTTCTAGAAATGGATGCTGAATTTCATTCAAATTATCCTTATATGACAAGTATATGTGTTATACATTACAATAGTTCATTTTAGGACATTATGACTTCAAGATTCCATATAGCTGGTAGGAACATGAGTACCTTATCCTACAAATTTGCCAATTGCCATACAACAGTAATTATCAACTGCATATGTTACCCATAAATGTAATATATCAACTTTCTGGAAATAATAGAGATAAAAAGTTACCCTTTGCTGATAATGACCCTCCAGTTGCACACCCAGCAACAACAGTATTTGTCATGTCATGCTTCGCCCGTGCCTAAACACATAATCATCAATCAATTCCAAGGCAAAGAAATATAATCTTATAAACATTAGCACCTTCAATCAGTTATTTATGCATTTATTTCACCTTCTCAACAACACATTCTGCAGCTGAGAAGATCAGTCCCATCAATGCAAAGGTCTTGGCCGAACTAATACTCCTTTTCCCCATTTGCTTTGCCGTATAGATGAATTGTTGCTTTGCAGTCATTTCCTCTTGCACCAGGGGGTTCGTCAAAGGATTATCCAGTGCCCCAAAAAACAGACCCATGAAAAACCCTAACCCACCTCCTACAAATTTCCATACAAGAAAACCAATACGCAAAACTTAGGGCCTACAACTTCATAACTCAAAATCCATAACCTATCCAAATGCAAATAGATATCAAAGAACAGTAAATAGAACTCACAAGGACCAAAGAACATAAAACGAAAAACAAAAACAAAAAAGCAGCATAATATCAACAAACACCAGTTAACAAACCAAAGCTTCAAAAGTTCCAATTAGAATCTTGCAGGAAATCTATCAAAAGCTTAGCATTAAAACAATCTACACAAAAGAATATTTTAAGCATAAGTCTATTTTATTACCCAATACTCCACTAACTACACTCCGGACAGCACAGTTGTTCCAGATGTCTTGGCCACGGATTTCCTCAATTGTGGGCAGCCGTAACGGCTCTATCTGAGGCTTCTCTGCTTCTTTTGAGCTCAATGAAGATATCGGAGTTTCAGTAGATTCAGTTCCTGAAGTGGATGCCATGGTAGTCTGTAACTCAAGGACTTCAGGAAGTACCAACAAGCAATTAATAAACCCTAGTTTCACCGCCGCAAGAAACTTGTGGTTTTACTGTAAAAATAACGTGACATGTGGATTACTGATACAGCCAACACAAAGGAAAAAGCAACTAAAGAAAGTAACAAATATCAAAAAATCTAAAAAAAAATTACAGAATCCTCTTTCTGATTTTCCCCCGCTTTCCAAGCTTTCTTCTCTGTTTGATTCCATCAAAATGCTATTCTTTTCTCCTCCATCTTCCTCTTGTTAAAAGAGTTTAAAAACAAGAAACCAAAACCTACATGAATAATGATGATTTAAATCAGATCTACGTCCATTGTTTCTTGCTGAAATAGCTTGAAATATTCAAGAGCTCAGATTTTGTCATCAGTTTGTTACTATGTTCATGAAATTCTTTTGGGTTTTCCTTTTTCCATTCAGATACTATGATGGATCTCCCCCTCATCCATAATGAAGAGAGAAAAAGGGGAAAGTACATAACATAACAAGGATCAAAATCCAATATGATATGCTCCATATTGGGTGTATCGTATCATATTGGCAAGTCCCCGATACCTCAAATATGAGGCATTTGGGGTTTTGACCAATTTCAAGGGGTAGGCACTAGGCAGGCCTAAGGCTGACACCCTGACTATTTTTTTGAAAAAAAAAAAACTAAAAAAAAAAGGAATGTGTGGTTGAAACACCCGATACACACCATCCAGTGTATTGAGGTATATCAATATTTTGAACCTTGAACATATCTATGAATGAATACAAAGAAAACATCAATCGTGGCACTTTTGCCAAACTTTTTGTTGGATATGTTCTAAGGACAGCTACAAAAGGAATATGTAAGGCATTCTCTGATTTCTTTCTTTAACATGCCGGAAAAATATTCTGATTTGGTTCTACAAAGAAAAGAAGGGATATATGCCTTTCCACATCATAAGAAGCCTATTATTAGATGTCTCACAAGAACCTTTATTATATTTATATCATGAATCAATTAATAAAATCATTTCTTTCTTTCTATTCTTCTTGTTTCTTTGTTTTGTAATTAATGATTAAAGAACGAAAGTGTGCAAGAGGATTAGTTTTCAAGAAGGTAAGGGAATGGAGTTCGTGCAGGCAGGTCAGTGGAGGAGATCCTTGAAGATAGAAGCAAAAAATTTCCTGTTCGAAAAAATGAGAATCAAGGGGAAGGTAAGCCTGAAGGTAAGGGGAGCGAAAAAGGGTACAATATTGCTGGAATGATTAGAAGTGATCGAGTGGCTAAGAGAGTTCATAGCWGGARCBTGTTCAAAWGGTAARCAGATAAACTGGCAGGATTTTAGTACATTAGAAGGGAGAAGATATGTTGTTGAATGTAAGAGGAATAGAAAAAGGTTTCTTCATAGCTTTGTCTGAATTTTTT